TTAGGGTTCGACCAAAACTAGGGCCTACATTTCGCAAACCGCCCTGCCTGCGTGGGTCTATAACTAGATTAGTGTGGCACGCGTTAGCTTTAGGCTTCAAACCGTGTCAGACATCACAATCGATTTCATCCCCAGTTGACTTGGTCAATGTCAGACTTTGAGCTTCCTACTTTAATAAATCTGACACGTTTGAAATTATGAGGACGCACTAAAATTCACGACTATGGAGGGTGCCAACAGTAAACGTAGGTCAGTCTTCCTTTAGAGTAAGGGTTAGACTGCAACGGCTCTTTACTGTTGATTTAATCGCACTCCCGATTGTGTTTGCTACAAGATGCTTTTAGGGGAGTTCGCTAGGTCCGGGTTGTAGGAGACCTTTGCTATTGTCATCTACTGCATCCAAACCAATATCTATTCGTTTACTTTGTTTTGAAGTCAGAACACGGTGTTCCTCCGGAAAAGACACGGAGTAGGTTTTGTGCGGTCCGCTTAACTAAAAAAGAATAAATAATTCATGCATATGCCGCTTTGGTTCTACTCGCCCAACTCACGAACTATGATACTTATGTATTCAGATATTAGAGACATGTGTGATTTGATGTACTTTTTAATGCGTACACGTGCGACAGTATCGACCCAATGCGTTGCGTCATATTGTGGCGGCAGTGGGGGCAGGTATGCTGGACATGATGCTTGTTATTTGGGACCCTATTCATGATGTGACGGACCTTAAATTGTCCTGCCAAACAACCGTTGTTTTTGTTGCTTTTTGACATAAAATCATCTCGGCGCGTTGCGGTAAACTGGGCAGACGCCGAGCAAGTACGGCCAGTTCGACAGTACTTTTGTGCTAACTGGTACAGCCGAGTCCTTGGTAGTCCGAAGCATCGTGCGAAGGCCCAGGTTTCGCAGTTCCAACACCGTAGACTTTCTCTACCGTGCCCCTTATCCGCGCCAGATATGAGATACAAATTGATCAGCTGACATGGTCATTGAAAACAGTTCTGCTGTCTGGAAGTGGTGCTAACAGAGAGGATTGTGCACTGTTTTGTGCTGTGACATGCCCTATGCGGTAGCTTTGAAGGTGGCCGGTCAGGTCGAAGTGAGATTCGAACGTGAGAGCAGAAGAGGCGACATTTGCGATGGAGGCTTGTAGTGTAGATGTTGTGCTGAAGATGGAGGCGCTCAATAAGAACGGTCCGGGCTCTGAACGTGAGGTGAGGGGCAAGTCCTGTTTACGTTTTATTTTGTCGTTTTCGCTGGTTAACTTCGAGGAGGGTCATTCTCATTTTTGTTCTGCATATGCACCTTCCACGACTCTCAGTTAACCTCAAGACGTTTGGGTTGCTGGCGATTCGCCTTTTTTGTCCATCCTGTTTTTACGTGGTTGCTAACATACTCACTTATTAAAACTTTCCTTCATGGTAGTATTTAGTGCCTTAGTGAATTTATTCCGATGACCTAGATCTCAGTATTTTCTTTTTCCCAACTTTTAGATGCTCGTGTTACTGGATCTCATCTTACTAGCCGTTGTAGCTTCCTGTTCGGGTAAGCATTGCGCGTACAATATACTTTATTGCATTTTGCCCATTTTTAACTGAATTTTTAAGTAGCAAGGCCATTTATGCAAATTTTCCTAAAGAGTCCCTAGTTAGGTTTCAGCCGCTAGTGCGAATTCTCTATAGGTTATTTGTCCTGCGGTCTTAGGTGATTGGTAGTCCCTCCTAACCCACACGGCGCCAGCTGAGAAGTTAGCCAGTGAGTACCTTCTTAATAACATCGAGCGTACGGCTGTCGACATCACACTCCTGATTCCTGATTACTCTCGGTTGGCTTCCAGACCCTACAATCCGACCAGTGGCCCTGTGTAATTTTGATCAGCACACCTGTGGTTGGACCAACGATCCAAGCAGCTCGCTACATTCCTGGAAAATCCAGCAGCGACCAGCGAGGGGTCTGCCCACGGACCCGGCAGTGACCTATCCCATTCTGTGCTTCTCAGCCAACGCACAGGCAGAGGAGGACAAGGATGCCACTTTCTTTTCCTCCTGGCTGACTGTTCCGAGCAAACCCCTGGTGAAAAAACCTCCAGTTGGTGACCTTCGAGCTCGTCTGTGGAGTCCCACCATACCGGCGGCACTGAGTCTTCGTTGTCTCAAATTCTCCTATACCTATGTAGATCAACCCAAGGCCTCACGGCATCGTCAGCCGTCCAATCGAAGCGCTGCTGCCTTGGCCCTGTTAAAACAGGCTGACGGGTGCTTACTCATTGCCATCATAGTTTATCGCACCACCTCCAGTTCACACGCATTACCAGGGGGAGGAGGGTTCTCAGCGACACATTAAGGCGAAATGCCGCCCCAAATCCGTCCTAAATCAGGATTTGCATGTTGAATTTCAGCACCAATGAGTCTTTAGAACACTCCGCTGTCGCACACTGATCTGCAATTAGTCGGTACATTTGGCTTGAATAACCGTTTACTTCAACCTTGTCACACGATGATTGGCCGTCGCTCCTGGGTATATAGCTTAATTCACGGGTCTCCGTTTTATGTCTATGGCCATAGACGGAAGGCAAACTTTCTAGGTGCTGAATCAGCTCAATCGTTCGTTTCAGCCGTTAGTGCGAATTCCGTATAGCTTATTTTATCATATTCTCTTAGATGAGTG